GTCATTTATCCAAATAAAGCCATAATTTAGCCATTATGTGTCTTAAGTCTCCTTGTATGTTGAAGAAGCCAGGTTCTAGTTCAGGAATTTCCTCCTGCGTAAAACACTGTGCTGTTCCTCAGGCACTTGTATTTGCTGTAAATTTGTAATAACATTTAGGGGCATGATCACATTCTGATTTTTTTTTTTGTTTTTGCAAGACCACTTCATGTCTGTGATGTTGCTATTTCCATCAGGAGGCATGTCATTTCTGGTTGAATAGATATAGGTAGTATATACAGTAGAGGATACTTCTAGTTGGTATGTTTTTCTTTTCCTTTTGGCTATCACATTTTATTTTCAAGCAAAAGTATGCTTAAGAACAAATATTTTTTTTCTTTGAGAATCTTAAAAATCTAGAAGTTAGTATTGGTAAAAGCATCCACACCATCTTCTATGGCTTGTCATTCTGTATGTTAATCTACATCTTTGATATCTGCGTGTGATGGTTTTATGAGAATTGATATTAATGACATGATAAGTTGATTATAAAACTAAATCCATCGGTTCTTTTGCAGGAAGCACCTCAGAGTAGGAGCTACTCTCCCTGTGTGTTACTTCAACATTGCTTGGGAAAGGGGAGGACTAGAAGGAGTTTTTTTTCCAGGTGTTTCAGAATCATCCGTGTAGCTTTGAAAGAAATACAGATGTCTGAACTACAAAATCAGTTTCCTCCGGTGATCTTTCTGTACACCTGAGGACTGAGAACCAATGGCCTGCTACAGTCTCAGACCAGATGTTCCCTTAATCTGTGTTTTCTAAAACTTAATCACATTCTACTTTTCAAGATTTTTTGGTGTCCCAGTAACATTTATACTAGTAGTTAGTGTATTTGTTTAATGGACTCACTTTTTTGCTTAGTTTAATAAGACATTGGTACCACACACATAAAAAGATTTAAAAACATTAAATATGTACCTATTAAAATCTAACATATTTGTCATTCTTCTTATATTTTGGGAAGCAGTGACCTTTGTGAAACTTATTTATTTCAAGCATTTTTGTCTCTGCTGTTTTACAGTTAATTTGTATTATAGCATTTAAATACTGTTGTGATTTTCTAATTGGTGGTGTATTTTTGATAATTTGATCAGCTTGCTTTGATCATCCAATTATTTCCTTAACAAGCGTTGTGAGACTTTTTTACAAGCAGATTATTGAGAATAGGGAACTCTATTATAGAAATGAAAAACCTGTATGGTTACCTTGTAAGACAAAAACAGCTTTGCTTTCAATAAATATTTCTTTTTCTGGCAGTCTGATACTGTGTGTTTTCAGAAGACATCTGAAAGAATACCTGGGTTAAATCAAATTCTTCTTGTTTATGAAGCATTATAAGTTCACAATGAAAAGAAGAAAGGCCTTGAAGTCAGACCTTGATATCTAGGAATCTCATGATACGGGCTTATGGCAGATACCCTTGAGATCCACTGTTACTTCTTATGTCATTTGTGAACATTGAGTGAGGTGTTTCATGTGGAACTTAGTGTCTAGACATTGAAAGACCACTTTAGAGTACCATATACTCAGTTTTCAGTTTCTTATCATTGTGAAGTGATTCCTTTTTAATTAACTGTTATTTGTCCTGACAACTGTTGTTCTTGAACAAAATCAAATTAACGGATCCAGTCAAAAATTATATAGCAGGTCCCCGAATGACATCATTTTGTTCAATATTGATTTTTAATTTTTAATCTTAAAAATGTGGGGCACAACTCAGGGTTAGGTATACAGCTGTTCATCAGGCAGTTGCCTTGGTGATGAGGTGTGTTCCCCCCTCCCCTGGCAGTTTCCCACTGCTGCCAATCTCTTCTTACAGTATTATGATAATTTTTCAAGGTCTGCTTATGCGGGAGAACAGGTGGTACTCAGTTCTTTGTTTCTGTGATAGATCACTCAGTATTATAATCTCAGTCCATCCAAGTTGCTGTGACATTCATAATTGTGTCCTTTTTTTTTTTTTTTTTTTTTTGAGTTGGATTCTCACTCTGTTGCCCAGACTGGAATGCAGTGGCCGCTCCCAGCCACCGCAGCCTCGACTTGCTGGGCTCTGGCCATCCTTCCGCCTCAGCCTTCCGAATAGCTGGAAATTACAGGCATGTGGTACCACGCCCGGCTGATTTTTTAATTTTTTTATTTTTGTTATTGTAGAGATGAGGTCTCGCTGCCCAGGCGGGTCTCAAACAATCCACTCACCTCAGCCTCCCAAAGGTGTGGGATTACAGGCTGAGCCACTGAACCCGGCTTGAATTAATCTTTTAAAAATATGTGTAGCTCATGTTTATTTCCCTTTTAATATTGAAAATGTTTTGAGTTTTTATTTAGAAGTTTGGTGATGTTTTTGTGACTGGAAATATGCTGTAGGAACTTAACTCTTATTAATATCTTTTAACCTATGGTAAACTTGGTTTCCTTATACATCCTTTTACTTAAAGTCACAGACCCTATTAATGATGTTAAATGATGATTTAAATGTATGTAAATTTGAGACTCAAAAGATTATGTTTTTATTTCTGGAGTCCTGTTAATTTTGTAATTTTCTATTATGTATATTTAAGGTATACAGCATGATGTTTTGATATATATAGTGACATGGTTACTATAGTCAAGCCAATTAATATAAACCATTATCTCATGTAGTTACCCTTCTTTTGTGTGTGGGAAGAGCACTTAAAATCTATTCTCAGCTAATTTCCTGTTTATAATATAGTTTTATAACTTTAGTTCTCATGTTGTTTGTTAGATCTGTAGACTTATTCATCCTAAATGTCTGTAGCTTTGTACTGTTTGACATATATTTCCCCATTTCTTCTCTACTCTCTGGTAACCACTGTTTTATTCTGTTTCTGTGTATTTGGCTTTTTCTTTAAATTAGATTTTACATATAAGTGAGATAATGCAATATTTATTTTTCTTTTTCTGTACTGGCTTATTTCATTTAGCATAACATCCTCCAGGCTCATCTTTGTAGCATATGATAGGATTTCCTTCTTTTTAAAGATTGAATAGTATTCCGCTCTGTGTGTGTGTGTGTGTGTGTGTGTGTGTGTGTGTGTGTGTGTGTGTGTACAGACACACACATCACGATTTCTTTATGCATTCATTCGTTGATGAACTTTTAGGTTGTTTCCATATCTTGACTATGTGAATGTGGGAGTGCAGATATTCTTATGATGTGGGGATTCCATTTCCTTTGGGTGTATACTCAGAAGAGGAATTGCTAAGAAGTATGGTAGTTCTGTTTTTATTTTTTTAGTAATCTCCATACTGTTTTCTTTTTTTTTTTTTTAATCAATATTTTTTATTATGGTTTTGTGGGGTACAGTTAAGGGTTAGGTGTACAATTATGTATCATTCAGGCACCCTGTTGATAAGAGGTGTTTCCCCTTCCCCAGACAGATATTTGCTACTGTTAATCCCATCCCCCTCGTCATAGTTTCCCAGTACCGTCAGTCATTTTCTTATAGTAGTACATTGGATGTTCAAGGTCCGTTATATGAGTGAGAACATGCGATACTCAGATTTTTGTTTCTGTGAGAGGTCACTCAGTATTATAGACTCAAGTTCCATCCAGGTTGCTGCAAAATTCATGATTTTGTTCTTTTTTATGGCTGCGTAGTATTCCATCGTGTATATGTACCACATTTTTTTAATCCAGTCCTCTTTTGATGGGCAGCATACTGTTTTCTTAATGACTGCACCAGTTTATATTTTCATCAACAGCGTACAAGGATTTGTTTTTTCCTGTACCCTCTCTAACACTTGTTATCTCTTGTCTTTCTGGTAACAGCCATTCTGACAGCTGTGAGGTGATATCTCATTGTGGTTTTGTTCTGTGTTTCCCTGATGATTAACGATTTGAGCATCTTTTATATTTCTTTCTTTCTTTCTTTTTTAAAGTTGGAATCTTACTTCGTCGCCTAGTCTGGAGTGCAGTGGCACGCTCACAGCCACTCCATTGTCCACCTTCTGGGCTCTGATGATCCTTCCACCTCAGCCTTCCAAGTAACCGGAACTACAGACATACGCTACCATGCCTGGCTAATTTTTCTTTTATTTATTGTAGAGGTGAGGTCTTGCCAAGTTGCCCAGTCTGGTCTTGAACCCATGGGCTCAGGCAGTCTTCTCACCTCGGCCTCCCAATGTGCTGGTATTACAGGCTTGAGCCACCGCACCCCACCTCTTTCATATTTCTATTGGTCATTTTTATGCCTTCTTTGGGAAATTTTGGACATTTTTAAATGTCCGAACTTCAGCCATTTAAAAATCAGATTATATGTGGCTTTGTTATTGAGTTTTGCAAGTTTCCTTATGTATCTTGGCTATTGCCCCTTAATTTTCTGTTTTTAAAAATATATGAGTTTCTGGGCACAAGAGGGCTTGTCTGTATTAGCACATGGTTCCAAATTTTCCAATGTCATCATCATCACCAAATTGATGTGAAGAAGAAACTTAATTAGGCCGGGCGTGGTGGGTCACACCTGTAATCCCAGCAGTTTGGGTGACCAAGGCAGGAGGGTTGCTTTAGTCCAAGAGTTTGATTCCAGCTTGGGCAGCATAGTAAGACCATGTTTCTACAGAACTTCAAAAAATTAGCTTGGCATGGCGTCGGGAGGCTGAGGTGGAAGGATTGCCTGGGCCAGGAGGTTGAGACTGCGGTGAGCTGGGATTGTGCCACTGCTCTCCAGCCTGGGTGATAACAGAGTGAAACCCCCGAATATAAATAAGTAAATAAATAAGTACGTATGTACATATGTACATACATACATACAAACTAATTAATCAAGTATGACTTCTTAGTGAATAAAGTGTATACAGTGGGCAGATTTCTTTAAATTAGAATCCACAGGGATAAGTTGTCTTGGAAAAGTTAAGAATCTTTAGACTTCTTAGTAATTTTATTTTAAGAATCCTACTGTCTGTGCTCTTCACATGAACTATTTAATGTATTTGCCATTTTGCAGCATCTTGAGGTTGGTGTTAAACTTCTCTGAGTGGAGCCCATGACTTCTGATCAGGACGCTAAAGTTGTGGCTGAACCGCAGACACAGAGAGTCCAGGAGGGCAAGGACAGCTCTCATCTGGTGAGTGTTGTTGGTTGGGGTGGGGAGTTGAGGGGAAATCCATTTCTCTTCTCTTTTGAATAAAGGACTTAATAAGGAAATCACAATGGTAACTGTAGCATGTAGATGTTACAGTTTTGTAGGGGAGAAAAGATTTCCCACCCATCTGAACTTCATGGCTGAGACCCTATGACAAATGACAGGTGAAGAAGAGAAAAGTATACACATTTATTTGGTAATAAGTCTTAAGTGCCATGGGAACCTCCATAAGTGAAGACCTGAAGGAACAGAGAAAACTGTGTATTTTTTGTTGTCTGATACAGAAGTGGACAGTCATGGAGAAGCATGATTAGACAGAAGGAGTGTGACCTTATGGTTATGAGCTGGGGGACCTTAGCATGGCTAGTGTGTTCAGGTGTTTCTTGGTGTCCCTGTGTGACATTCCTTTTCTCATGTAGAGCAGGGCTCCTCTGGAAGAGGGTCTTAGGGACCTGTCTTCAGGGGAAGGTCAGCAGGTTTTATCGCCTGCTTCACGGGAGAAGTGGCAAGAATTTTTTCTAGTTTATGTGGCCTGATTTTGCTGTTTTCTCAAGTGCCAGCGTGTCAAGTTTCGGAGTGGTGTGTCCTGAACCCTGTCAGTCTGAAAAATGTAGAGGTAGCTTAGTAGAGAACACTGCAAGTGGTAGGTGATAGCAGAAAGAAAAGGTAGGTATAGCTCTAGGTACCTAAAGTATTGTATTTCTTAAATCAAGGAAATGCAGTGGTTTGTAAATACTCTAATAACATTACAGCCATTATAATAGGGTGTGTTTAAAGAGTTAATTAGGACTTTATATACATTTTTTATTTTGAGTAACTTTGTTCATTTAAAAAATTTATCATGTCAAGCAATAATATTTAAAGTTTCAAAATGACTTGGGGAAAAATAGCTTTTCTTAATTTTCCCCGTTGAAACTACATTGAATTTTACTTAGGATGTTCATTCAGAATTTAAAATTTAAAAATTTTAAGGCTTCTGTGGCCAGGCACAGTGACTCAAGCTTGTAATCCCAGCACTTTGGGAGGCCGAGGTGAGAGGATTGCCTGAGCTCAGAATTTGAGACCAGCCTGGACAACTTGGCGGGACCTCGTCTCTACAATAAATCAAAAAATAAGCTGGGCGTGGTAGCGCGCACCTGTAGTTACAGCTCCTTGGAGGGCTGAGGCAGAATTGCCTGAGCCCAGCAGGTCGAGGCTGCAGTGGCCATGAGCGTGCCACCGCACTCCAGCCTGGGCGACAGAGTGAGACTCCAACTTAAAAAAAATTTTAAGGTTCCTATATTTTTCTGAATGTCTTGTGAATTCATGATTTTATCATGTAAAAATGTACTTGACAGTGGGTTTGATTTTGCTTGATTACTGTGATTTGAAAATATGTTTTCTTTACATTACAGTGGTGCTGTCTTTGTTTTCAATTTTACAGATGAATGGTCCTATATCTCAAACCACTTCTCAGACAAGTTCCATCCCAGCTTTGAGTCAGGTAATTCAATTTCGAGATTAATTATAGATTGTTTAATCACAGCCAGGGCTCACAGATATTTCCTTAATGACAGATGTTTACTGTAAAGAAAATTAGAACGTGGATATTTCTCAAAAAGGGTATGGGGACACATTCATCACTGTAGCTCCTAGGTACAGTAATGTCCATACTGTATGTCCTTTCTGGCTTCTATGTGTATGTATGTTCTGTGTATAGTTCCACAAACAGCAGCATGCCAAATGGATTAATTTATTGTCTGATATTGATCGCAATATTTTTAATGGCTCCCTGATAATCTGTTGTTATGTGTATGATTAGCTTTACATTTTGATAGCCTGTGTTCCATATAGTCACAAGTTGAGTAGTAAGTTTTTGCTAAGAAAATTTCTTTTTCACATTTTAGCTGTGATCAATAAAAGAATAAGGAGGTGAAAATCGGTTGGTTTTTAAATCCTGACTTTTACCACTTGCATATGCATATATAAAGTGCATTTAGAGCTAATACTCCAAATGCAGTTTGATAATCTTCTATCTTACAAATTTTATAAAATTTAAAAAGTAAATTCTAAAGTAAAATTTATAGTAAACTTTATCCATGCCCCCAAAGTATAAGCAGTTCACACAGGAATTAAAGGAGGAGTTAGGATGCTCGTCTACTCTTTTTTTTTTTAGTTATTTAGAGTCTCACTTTGTCACCCAGGCTGGTGATCCTTCAGCCTTCCAAGTAGCTAGAACTACAGATGCATGCTACCATGCCCAGCTAATTTTTTTTTTTTTTGAGTTGGAATCCCACTCTGTCATCCAGACTGAAGTGCAGTGGCATGCTCACAGCCACCACAGCCTCCGCCTGTTGGGCTCAGGTGATCCTCAGCCTTCCAAGTAGCTGGAACTACAGGTACGCACCACCACGCCTGGCTAATTTTTTAATTTATTATAGAGATGAGGTCTCACCAAGTTGTCCAGGCTGGTGTTGAACCCCTGGTCTCAGGCAGTCCTCTTGCTTCGGCTTCCCAAAGTGCTGGAATTATAGGCTTGAGCCACCGTACCGGCCATTCATCTACTTTTAATAAAGTCAAATTTTAAAAAGTGAAAGATACCTTTTAAATTATTTTATTTTTATACTTTTATGATTTATGTTGGCTTTTTGTATGTTCTATTTTACAATGATTTTTTTAAACAAATTTTGTTATGTTTTAAAGTAATTTTAAATCCAAATGTAACACTTTTGGTAGTCTAAGAAGAAAATTATGTAAGAAATAAATTAGACAGCTCTTAAATGTAGAAATCTTTGAGAATTTTTTGTTTGTTTTAACAAGTTCCCGTCTTCCCCTTGGTTGACTTGCAGTCCAGCATAATATTCAAACATCTTTAAAAACCATTTGTAGGAAATAGATGTAGATTTGGTGTTCTTTGATTTTTGTTGTTGTTTGTTTGCTTGCTTTAATTGCTTTGGTCATAAGAATTAAGATGAGACCTGTCTGATAAAGAATTTAAGCCCTTGAGCCAGAATTCAGTATTTTATCTTTCAATAACTGGCACCTGTGCTCTCTGGCCTTGTAAAGTGTTGAGATCCTACAACAGAACACTCCTGGAGGTTCAGGTTCAGCCCTACTGCTCAGTGCCATGGAGGCCACAGGCAGATCCTGTCTCTGACATGCCTTGGTGATTTGTGAGTCACTGTTTCCAACTGTGCAGAGCGTTATACACTTCAGGTGCTCATAGGGTTACAAACCACTAGAGCTAGAGCGTACCTTAGGAGACCATCTGTCTCACAACACGTGTGTCCTCTAAAGGTGTATATCGACCTTAAGTGTCTTTACAAGAAATAAATGTCCTCTCAGAGTCCACCATTTATATATAGCTTTAATCAGTATGTATATTTCACCTCACTTTTCCCCAGTTGACCTGATTACATCTATATATCCCCACATAGCAGCTCTTACTTAGCATCTGATATTTTCTTTTTGTTGATATGCCACTGTGTCATTAGCCACTGGATTTGGGGGTCATTTGAATTGTCTATCATTTTCCTGCTGTTATGAATGGCATTTTTAAACTAGCTTTATTTGTAGTACAACTAAGGGTCTGTAGTTTTCCGGGAGTTTGTATTGGCTGAGTGACTAAGTGTTGAGGCTCAATAGTCTGCTGTTATAGGCAGGAACAATGATGAAACTCTTGAGTCCATCAGTATTCCAGCAGAAGGGAGGAAAACCAGAGGACAGTGTTAGGCGAAGATAGAGGAAGAGAGGCCGACTCAAGCAAACTGAAGTAAAGTGAGGCCCAGCTGGTTTGGAGGATCTGGTGGAATGTGGGTGATCAGTTGTGGCCTTAACAAGAGACGTTCCGAGGAATGATCCAAGCAGAAGCCAGATTGCAGTGGGCGGGTGGACAGAAGGGGACCTTGGCTTTTGAAGGTCACTACATTGGCTTCAGAATCCATTTTGTGTTCGAATGATCCTGCTGAGTTTTATCATAAATAAACTGTAAGTTTGAGGGAAGAACTTGAGAATGTGATAATGTTTGAGTGACAAGTGATATTAGGTGGAAGTATTAATGTTCAATTAGCACCTCGGAAGAAAGATAAGGAGTCATGCCGAGTGTTTTCTAATTGTGGTGTGAAATTGGAAAACTTAAGTTGGAAATCCAGCTCTTCTGCATAGTGTACATATAGTTCAGTAAGACATCGTTTATGTATTTTTTTAATTCCTTTGCAGATAGTGATATCAGAAGACTTATCTTTCCAGTTATTTGTCAAGTTTCCTAAAAAAAAAAATCTCTACCTTTTGATGACATAGCTTTGAATGAATATTTATTATCAAGCCAGTCAAAGTAATTACTATAGGTCTCCAACTTGAATAAGAGCAGGCTAGCAATCAGAAAACTTGAATGTCTACGAAGATCTCCAACTCCTATATCGATCCTTTGTGCAAGTGACATGTGCCTTCTCTTAGTTCATTATCGTTCTGGTTAAACTTTTCGGTAGGTTGTTGCCACTTTATCAGTCTGTTTAAGAAAAGACGGAGGAACTTTACCTAAGATGTTGATTCATTTCCTATTTTAACCTGGAAAGATATCTGAGATGTCTGTTTACATGTCAGAAAGTGTAAAGCTGCCTTTACCTCAGAATGACTTTTTTAAAACCATTGGTACTTCCAGTTGGACCTGACTGGATGTGGGGTCTTTGGGTTCCAGTAACTTCTGAAAACCTACTCCAGGATGGAGGACACCTTCTAGCCAGGTGCTGTCTTTTTCTCTTGGAATCTGTTTGTGGTGAGGTGGCGAGGAGATCTTTTTTATGTAAGAAATTGTCCAGTTTGATGGCATCTGTCACATTCGGCTTATCTTAAAGACTTGCCTGTATTCTTTCTGTCGTTGACAGAAGAAATACTTTCCCTACTTTTTAGTTCCAAGGTATATTTGATAATAAAGGAGTTTCTTCTTCATTCCCTATTTGGCTTGCTATTCTTAGTTTTATTCCGGTATAGATGAGCTACAATGTTGCCAAAACTTCTCTTGTTTTAAGTAGACACCTGTGATAGATGAATATCTCAATGATAGTCTTTCATGATACAAGAGTCAGTAAAAATCATCTGTCTCAGAACATTCTGTACTTTCTTTTAAAAAGCTGGTAATTTTACTGCTTGGTATTTGCATCATTTGAGATATGACGAAGCATTTTCTGCATACTTTTTCATTTTAGAATTATATGTCCATAGTTTAAATTCTGTTAAGGCATTTTGCTCAATAGTTGGTTTGCAAATCAACTTTGTGGGACATTACTGTGCAAGCCATTGTACTGAGAGAACAGTCAGACCAACAGGAGGAAGTGACGTACGTTTCAGACTCCTGTGCCCAGCGGCTGGCAGCCTTCACCAGCACTGGTGTTTCTGCACATGTGTGGAAGTACATTTCATGTAACTGCATGCACAGGTCCTAAGTATACAACTCAGTGAATTTCTACAGAATAAACCCAGGCAGGGAATTTACCACCTAGATCCTGAGGCAGCCCTCTGGATTTTGGCATCAGTCTGAAGACACATTGTGATTGTAGAAATTGTAAAAATATGAGGAATATGTATCTTCGAGTCAGGGAACTTTTGAGAGAGTCAAACTGTGATGTTGAACATGGTTTCTGAGATGGGCACGCTGCTTGATTCCTCATTTGGCCTTTCAGTTCCATGGAGCCAGTGCCTCTTGCCTGAATCACAGCAGTCCTTCCTTACTAGTGCCCTGACCCACCCTTCCTTCCTAACACAGTCGCCAGAGGACCCTTCAAGAAGGCTGAGTCATGACCTGCCACTCCTGTGCTCAAGCATCAGGATCAGTCTGAGTCCTGGCAGGGCCCCAGGCCTTCATAGCCTGCCCCTGGCTGTCCCCTGGCACCCTGTTCCCAACTCCAATGGGTCTTGACCTTTTTTTGGGGGGGGGTTGGAGTCTCACTCTGTCACCCAGACTGGAGGAGGGCTGTGGCATGCTCTCGGCCACCGCAGCCTTGACCTGCTGGGCTCAGGTGATCCTTCCGCCTCAGCCTTTCAAGTAGCTGGTACTATAGGCATGCGCTACCATGCTGAGCTAATGTTTTTGTTTTTGTTGTTTTGATTTATTGTAGAGATGAGGTCTTGCCAAGTTGCCCAGGCTGGTCTCAAACCCGTGGGCTCAATCCTTTCACCTCGGCCTCCCAAGGTACTGGGATTATAGGCTGAGCCACTGAGCACAGCCAAATTTTTATTCTTTTTACATTACTTTATTCTTAACACTTAAGCTTGAATAGTTCGTTAAGCAAAACTAGCCATCGCCTCAGGTTATTTCTTTGTTAATCTTGTCTACAGCCTGTAAAAGCCTGAAGTTGAGAGTATTTTACTGATGAGAAGACACAGCTCCTTTTATTGAACCAACAAAATACTCTTTATTTACCTGTCTTGTGAAATAAAGTGCATTTGAGTTATTTTCTATTTTTCTGTTAAAATATTTAAGCACTTGCTTTTTTAAAAGCCAGTTAA